AGGTTGTGAAGAAACTGGAACCCTTATTCACTGTTGGTGGGAGTGTAAAATGGTACAACCACTATGGAAGGCTTTATGGCGCTTTCTCAAAAAGTTAAAAAAAGAAAAACCATTTGACCTAGCAGTTCCTCTCCTGGGAATTTACCCTAAAGATACCGTAACTGCCATCTAAGCAAATATATGCACACCCATGTTTATTGTGGTTCTGTTCGCAATAGCAAAGAGCTGGAAACAACCCAAGTGCCCAAGAACAAACGAATGGATAGAGAAGATCTGGTATATTTGTGCTATGGAAAACTATACAGTATTGAAAAACAAAGAACTCATGAAATAGTATGCAAAATGGATGACCCTGAAGGACATGCTGAGTGAAATCTCTCAGTCACAAAAGGACAAATATTGCATAGGGCCATTGTTGTAAAACAGACTGACATCAGGGTTCAGGGAAGATAGAAAAGGATGGGAGGAATGATGTATATTGCATTGAAACAGATGAGGGAGAGAAATGTTTAAAAGGGCCATATGAATGGATATTCTTGACATTACAGAAGTCCAGAGTGAAGGCTGCATGGTGGAGTGGACTTGAGGGGAATGATTGCATAACAATGAAAGAGTTTTTCTTATCAAGGAGAAGAGTGAATTGGGGGTGGGGGGCAGGGAGAAAAGTGCAACAATGAATGACTGGACATCCTAAATATGTAAACTTTCATTGAAATTAATTTTTAAAAAAGAAAAAATAATCCTTTTATTAATATTTGGGAGAAAAGCTTCTTTGTATTTTTTTTTTTGAAGCTTGGAAATCACTGCTTGTGGTACATGGGCTTGATGGAGATAAGATGGTTATGTCAGCAGTATTCTTTTCTGAGTCCTCTCATTTGAATTTTTGTAAGTTCAAGATTGGATGTATTAGGCTTGTCTCATATGCATGGGGACATGATGGTGGTTATTGCAACTAGACAGACATCAGTAAACCTGGTCTGTTAGTTTGACTTTAACAATTTTCTTGTTTTACTATTTCCTTACTTTCTGTATTACAATAGTCTACACAACAATGACTAAGGAGGACAGAAGGAGAATTGATGCCTTTGAGCTGTGGTGCTGGAGAAGAGTATTGATAGTACCATGGACTGCTAGGAAAACAAACAGATTCATCCTGGAAAGGGTTAAAGTGGTGGCTCTTTGGAGGCAAGGATTCTGAGGCTCCGTCTAACATACTTTGGACATGTTGTAAGGAGAGACCGGTCCTTGGAGAAGGACATCATGCTTTGGAGGGTGGAGGGACAGCACAGGAGGGGAAGGCCCTCTATGAGGTGGATTGATTCGGTGACTGGGGTTATCGGGATGGGAGTGTCAGAGACAGTGTGATTGGCACAGGACAGAGCAGAGTTTAGGGCTGTTGTACATAGGGTCACTATGAGTCGCAAGCAACTCGACGGCACATAACAACAACAACACAATAATGCTTGTAGATGGGAAGAACTTTGCATTCTTAAGATTCTTTTTGAGAAGTTTGACTTCGGGCATTTAGAAACTTGCATGATGATGCTTATAAATCTTGAATCTTATTGACCATTCAGAAGATGTGCATCAGAAGATTCCAGTTGAGGCAGAGTAATAACTGTAAATAATTGTGTCCTAAAATAAATCTTTTTGTAAATGACTTAACACTGACTAAATCTTTTATTCATTAAGATAGCTGGCCTTTTTACAAGGATAATAACTATAATTTACTATGTTTATTATTATAATGACATGCAAACTGCTGCAGAAGAATTTGAATGTTATGTAATAGATATTATTGTGCCATAAATTTTGACAAGTCATAATTCAGAGGTAAAGATCCAAAGTAGAGTGGGGGTGTTTTTTTAGTTAAAAATCTGATTTAAAGTAAATTATAACTTGTTTTAGGTCTTTCCTTTGCCCCTCAAACTCAACTGGTTTCACCACCACAGTAATTGCAGGCATGCCTCATTTTATTACATTCCTTCTTATTGTGCCCTAAAGATAGTGCATTGTCTTACAGATTGAAGGTTTCTGGTAACTCTGTGTCGGCTTGTCTGCCAGTGCCATTTTTCCAAATGTATGTGCTCATTTCAAGTTTTTGTGTTAATTTTGGTATTTTTCACAATTCCAAACTTTTTCATAATACCATTTTACTTACTGGACAATATGGAGAGCTGTGGTGACCTTATGATAAGAAGCTGCACTGTGATTCCAAAGGCATGCAGTTTGAATCCACCAGCTGCTCTATGGAAGACGATGGGCAGTCTCCTTGAGTATGTTTTACTGCCTCTGCAAGCCTGCTGAGGGTCAGCTATGAATTGGCTCCCGTTTGAGGATATACAACTGCAGATTACAGTATAGTGCAAAAATAACTCGGGCACTTGGAAACAAACAAAAAAGTGACTTACTTTATTGTGGTACTTGATTTGTGTGGTATTTCTCTGAGGTATCCCTGTACAGTAACATTTAGGGTTTTAGTCAGGCTAGCATTGGATTTCAGTGAATAAGTGTGTATCTTTCTGTAACAGACCATAGTCCTTCATTTAAAATACATTTATAAATAATCCCCAATTTATGACAAATTTGAGTTACCATAAATCACACTGTTTTGTACATCTTACCCATATTAATATGTAAAGCATACATTTATTTTGTTGATATCATTATCATATGTTCACCCGAAGATGTTTAATGCCATGACATAATGTCCAAAACACTGTCGTATAGTAGGAAATAAAGAAAACTTAAAAAATGTGATACTCAACTTACTTCAGAGTCTGTTTTCTGTGAAGTCTTCTAAATGGAAATTCAGCAAAAGTCAAGGACTACTTGTACTAATTTGTACTAGGTACTGAGGATTTGAAGAGCACTCAGTTGGGTGATCAAACACTCAGCTGCTAACTAAAAGCTTTGTGGTTCAAATTCACTCATCCCTCTAAGGGAGAAAGATGTAGCCGCCTTCGGAATCTTATGGGACTGGTCCATTGAGTGCCCTACGAAGTCACTGTGAGTCCAAATGCCACTCAGTGACAGGAGGTGTGATTGTGGTTCTTGCTAAGGATTTAACATTATAGAAAATAAGTATAAGCACATTTTAGTGTAAATAAACCAACATAATTTTACATCAAAAAGAGAAGCTAAAAATGAATAGGATAGTGTCATAGAGTCTAGGAGCTACTTCTAGTGAGTGAGATCAGTAGGCCTTGCTGTGAGGTGACGGAGGAACTGAGCTGATGTGTAAATATGAGAAGTTGTATGATGCACTGGGGGAAGAGCAACCTGAGTCCAGAAAATAGCAAGTGCAAAGCTTGAACAGGAAGAGCCACTACTTGCTCAGTTCACAGAGAGAAGGCCAGGGAAGCTGGAGGGTGACAACTAGACAGATGAGGGTGAAAGTTGGGGGCGGTGAGGCCAGAAAGACAGGCTGTGTTTAGATGCTATAATGTGTTGCAGGCCATTCTAAAGAGTTTGGATTTTCTCCTGCAGGCAGTCAAATAGCACAGTGGATTGTAACAGAGGACTGGCCAGATTTATAGCTACCAGCTCCACATGTGCATTGGTGAATGGCTTCTTTTAAATGGAAATAATTGTCTTTTTTATTTTATAGGCTAGACCAGAGAACTGCCATTTGGCCGAAGGATGCTGTGGAAACTCGGCAAGACTTAAACGAGGTAGGTGCCTGCTTTGCTGGTTGTATGATTTGCTGGTTGTATGAATGGGAATTCGGTGATCACAGAATTTCTTCTTCTTTTTCATCAGTCTGTCTGTCAGTCATTGTTACTGAGTTGGAACTGACTCAAGCTTACCTTTCAGTGGGCTTTCAGAAGCTGTAAACCACCTGAGGGGAGATTGCTCACCTTTCTTCTGAATAGCAGCTGTTGAATTTGAACGGGCAGCCTTTGTGTTGGCAGCAAAACTCTCTACCCACTAGACCATCAGAACTCACTTCTTTTTATAAGTACTAGGAATTCCTTCTGATTAAAATTTTGGGTATTTTTTCTGATTAAAACTTTTAGTATTTTTGC